TTTTAATAAAGTGACATTGAATTGAAAGTGAAAATATTCTTAGTTTCAAATTTTAATTTTGAAATTGTTTGTGATAATATTGTTTGGTTGGCTTTTGGAAATAAACTTGACTGTTGAATGCTTGTTTTATGCTGTGTTTGGTTGGAGTTTTTGAGGTGGGATTTGGAAAAGGAATGAGAAATGTAATCCTATTTATGTTTGGTTATAATAAAAAATATATGGGAAAAGAAAGGGGGTGAGAAATAAATAAAGAAATAGGAGACCTTTTAGGATATCAATTCTATTTTATAACCAACACAACCAAACATAGTTGGGATTTGAAATTCTATTAATTCTTTCTCATTTTCCTTTCATTTCCATTTCCCTTTCCCTTCCCAAATCCCCCAACCAAACACAGCGTTATGCTTTTGAAAATGGGAAATGTTGCCTGGCCTATAATAATATCCAAGTGCATAAGTTTAAATTCAGAATTGACAGCAGAAAGGTTCCATGGAAAGTACTGGTAGCCATAGATATTGGCTTCCACAGGTTTGGATATTTTTGGATATTTTGCCAGGCATTATGTGCAAACACAATATTGGCACATCCCTCTTTTCACTAGAATTCTTGGCACTGTGGGGAACCATTGTGACGTGTCTGAAGTTACATATTAACAACTAAAGTTTCAGTTTGTTTGATTTCATAATTCATGATTTACTTTTCAAAAAATTAAATTTTTTTATTTTTCATATTTTTTATTTTTTGTTTTTACTGAGTTTTTTTTTTTTTAATATTTCAGGTAATTTTTTTAAGGGCAAATTACATATACACCCCTCCAGGTTTGGTTAAATTACAGATACCCCCCTGAGGTTTCGGAAATTACATCCCGCCCCCTGAGGTTTGTATTTTCATAACAATTTACCCCCTGAGGTTTATATTTCATAACAAATTACCCCCTAATTTCTTATGCAAATATAGCATTCAGGGGGAATTCGTAATTTCTCAAACCTCAGGGTATCTGTAATTTAGCCAAACCTCGAGGGGTGTATATGTAATTTGCCCTAAAAAATTTAGGATCTATAGCTTTTTTCAATAAAAAAAGAACATCTGAAGTCTCTGTGGGTGTGTGGGTGGGTCCTGAGCCAGTGATTGACTAAGTAAAATCTGCGGTCAGTGCTAGTGCCGGAGATGAGGGTATTTTTGGGGCTTGACAGTTGTGCATGGTGGTGAAGAATGTGAATGGCGATGGATTCGTAAGGAGCTTAGGATGGGGAAGAATATTTGTAATTGGAGAGATTTGCATAAGCTAGGAGAGAGAAAGGGGAAGGAAAGAAGAGAGGGAGAGGGAGAGGGAGAGGTGGGTCTCTCATTTCTTCCCTCGTGAAATAGATGCCTATGAACACGTGGTATGCGGAGAGAAAGTTTGGATGGATCTAGAGGATTAGAGCTTGATGGTGACCCCAAATTTAGATGGGAGAAGGGAACAGATGTGTGGGGGCCTTGCCACATAAGCAGTTGGTAAACTAGTTTGTGTCCATAGATTTATTGGCTTATATATGTTGGTTCAAAAGCAGGGTCCTAATAACTTTTTTTTTTCATTGACAAATATAAAATATGCCAAAATGAGGTGAAAGGTGTAGAAGAGGAAGATATTATGTATGAGCAACATCTCTACAACAGATATCGAGGTGTAATTTTCTTTTAAAGAAAAAATAAAATATGGTGGAGAAGAGTTCATAGAGAATCTGGAATTTCAGTTCTCGAGGGCAATTTGCAAGTACACTAAATGGATTTAGTAATAGCAAAGCTTGTTCTAGTTCCAGAGTGAAATATTCTCCATGGGTTTTTTCACAATGATCATTGACTTCGTTAATGACAGTGGTACTATTTGTACTTTGGAGTTTCTTCTTCTTCTTCTTCTTCTTCTTTACTCTCTAAAAGTTTTGGATGAAGTATTTGGCTTCTTTCAACCTTAAGAAAGCAGCATGTAATTCTGCCAAGAACATGATAAAAGCTTTCATGCTTTGGGACTGTGAGGATCTATCTTCCTTCATGTTTCTTTTGTTCTAGGCCTTCTTGGTGTGAACTATTGGAAAAAAAAGTCTATTCTGTGAACATTTTGTTTCATGAAATCTTTGACAGGATGAAACCTTAACCATCTTTTGTTCATTATGTCTTTCTTTCTCTATTTGTCTATTGTCTTCTCCTTTTTATTTTGTTTTGAAAAATGGGGAATGAAGAACCATTACAGCTCGAGTATTCTTCTGTTATGATGAATGAATAACCATTTAGTATAAAACGAACCTTTATATATGTAGCTCACATTTAAGTCGAGGTCCTAGATTTGACTCTTACCCAGGAGTTGACATCTATATATTGTACTTTGCCTTATCCATGTTATGAAACTGTTGTCATTATTATGCTATAGAATTCACCTTTTAATGGATACCTTTCTGTTTTAGTGTAATGGAAAAGGGTTCTCCATTGACATCTTCTTTCTCTGTTGTAGGTTAGGGTGTTATGCGAGAAGGCTAAGGAGATTCTAATGGAAGAAAGCAATGTGCAGGTATGCTTTTGTTCATCCATTGGTGCTATTAGGCCAGTCATTGTTACTGTTGAAAAATTGCCAGCATCTTGAGATCCTGCCACATAATTTTGAGGGCATTAATTTCTTTTTCCTGGTGGAATCAGCGGAATAAACAAACTGTTCAGAAGTATGTGAGGGCCATCACGTGTCTTGACTCTTCCTGTTAGGAATAAACAAACTTATCCAATATGCCATATAATGTGGAAGCAGTTGGGAGTTCAAATTGATAGGCTGTTTCTTTTCATGGAAAAACCTGTTATTGCTCTAAAAAAAGTTTGGTCCTTTTTTGTTTCTATGGCTGGATTGTTTCATTAATTTTTTTGTATTTCAATAGCTCGGCTTTATTTTATGTTTGAATTTCTGGCTTAGTTTTCTAAGCAAGATTGATAATTCTTTAAGGTCATCTTATAAATTGGAATTTTGAGTAATTAAATTATACAGTGGTGATGATTCTGTGGCAAGGCTTCCACTGATACTGAAACTTGTGGAAGAATACTTTTTAGTATATTTTTTTTGAATTCTGTATTTCAGTGTGGCTTTCATTTTATTAGCTTTAGGACAGTTTTTGGGAGGGTTCACCTTTTAATATTAATTACAAAAGATGTCATTGGGTTACATTGGTTAATGTTGTACTGAAGTTCAGAGATTTGGTAAAATTGAAAATTGGGCTTGCAATTTTTAGTAATGAATTTAGTAGAACTGAAGCTTTGAAGATGGTAAAATTTTTTGAGCGTGGATTTGTTTATTTAGAAATCACTTTTGTTTTTTCCTGTTTAGTGATTTGCTACATATGCATCATGAAACACACTTAATAACCAATGGAAGCTTTAAATTTTGTGCACTTGAAGAACTAAAAATTGCCCCTAAGTTTACAGTAGTATTCAAGTTGAAGGCGAACTCAATTTTTTCATTCAAGTTTTTGTTGTTTTAAATGTTTTTACTTTTATTTTTTTTATTATTATTCTTTTTTCATTTTTCTCTTATTTAAGGGTGGGGAGCAGGTCTAGATGGGCTTGTTCTGATTTTGTATTTGCATTGTAATATTGTATATGTCATTTGAGTTTACATAGGATCTCACTGCTTGAATGTTAAAATCCTAATTAGTCTTCCCCCCTCTTCTTTTCTTTATGTTGTTGTCTATGCAGCCTGTGAAAAGCCCTGTAACAATCTGTGGTGATATTCATGGGCAATTCCATGATCTTGCAGAGCTTTTTCGAATTGGAGGGAAGGTATTAATCTCGTTTGAGCACTTTGTTGGTATACATTTTGGGCAACGATATAGCGATTGATTTTCATTGCTAATAGTATTACTATGCTTCTGAAGATTGACCATGTTGGGATTTGGTTGTGTGTCTCTGCCTCTTAAACTAGGCATCTGGTTTGCGACTCATCGGATTCCTATTCCTAAAGTGACAATAAAAAAGACGACACATGAATCTTTTTTCATCAACTAAACCACACACATGGACACTCACAACACATATTATTTTTCTTCTTGCGGAAGCCCTAATTTTCTAAGTTTGTCATTGTTATCATCTTTGCTATAAGCCATTCACCTTGAAGAGACTTTATGCAAATATATTCTGATCTATATAAAATTAATTGGTTGATCGACTATTGTATTTGTACCACTTTGATTAACTGATTTTTGAAAAGTTCCTAAATGACTGTTGTGTTTTATTTTCCAATCCATATGTGCATTGCTATTTGTGAAGCATGGGTACGACTACTGGTATTGGTACGATATGAGTATGTTAATATGGTAAAATCTAAAAAAAGTAGGATACGGGTACGGCTAGGGCTAGGTACGTTTGTAAAAAAAATGTTTGTTTTTAATTTGGAGTAATGAAATAATTAGTGAAATGGTTTAATTTGTTGAAATCTAACCTACAATTCACATTTAATGTCAAAAGCAAAGGTACAAACCAAAATTAAATGTCATTATATTAATTAACTTGAAAATCAAAGCTTAATTTTAAAATCATGCTAATCATAGAAAAAAGAAGTTCAATGAAATTAATTTTACCTTTGTATTAAAAGAAAATATTGTTTCGATTGAGGTACGGTACGGTACGGTACGACTTAGGTATATATTAGGTACGTCTGGGTATGCCAAAAATTAAGAAGGAAAAATTTGGATATGTGTTTCGTGTACTAGGTACGTATGTAGAAGTACTATACGAAGTAGCAGTACCCAGTAACTACTTGGTACGGGTATAACATGTTTGTCGAAGTACCCATGCTTCATAGGTTGTTATGAATCTTTTAGAAATCCTCATGCAGAAAAATAACCTAATGAAACATTAGATTTGATATGAATAAGTGTTAGCAGATACGAAAGACATTTTTAGATAGTGGTAAATCCATAACATCAATGTTTTAGTGGTTTGATTAGGCTCACCATGGTAAGGTTAGAGGTTTTCGATATTGAAAATGGGCTAATTCCCACTCCATTCGGTGACTCAAGAAGATTTGCGTTAAGTTTCTTGAGGATGTGGCATGCCCTCAATATTTTGTTCTCAAGATAATTTCAATTTTCTTCACTTCTCCAGTCCTTCCCATATATTATACTAGTGTAAAAGGCCCGTGCAAGACACAGGCTACTACGGCCTTTAATTCCAATGTTTATTGAGTTTACTAAATGAAACAGAATAATATGACAATTTCTGTAAAACATTTATTTTTTGTTTCATTCACTTAAAAAATAATTAAAAAATACATTATAAAAGAAATAATAATTATTCCATAGAAAGATTAAAGAATAATAATTTCATTCCATTGCACCTTATTCCATTCCACTACCTGAACTTTTTTTTCCCAAAAATAAGATTATTTTCTTACAAAAAAATTGAATAGAATAAATGATTAAATATATAATAGAAATTTTAATTTGTATTATAAGGTACAATTATGTAATGATCAATCCCATTATGTATATATGGTAGGTACATAATTATGTTGGAATGATCAATCCCAACATGTATATATGTAGTTACATAATTATGTTGGATTGGGCAGTTATATTTTAATTGTAGGGTTCATATTCTCATGTGTAGATTTATTAACAATTAATGATACCATGTGTTAGTGATAACGTGGTGTCACATAAAAAGAGAGAGAGTGTGGGTGTGTATCTCTGTCATTATTAGTAATTTAAGCACAAACAGGACAGTTGATTTTACAATCATATAAATCTAATGACTATTTGGTTCAATATCTTTGGCAACAAAATGGATTACCTTCTTCCCCAATGTCCTCATTAACTAATGCCAAACCAATATGAATCATGTATTTTATTATTTTAATGAAACAGTCATTCAACTTATATCAGACCAATAATCGATTAAGGCCCCTTTTGGGATGCCAAAGTTTGGCTAAAATAGCTAATAAAGACAAAAAAGGTTAAAATAGCCAATAAGACAAAATGTCACATCCAAACCATAATCATTTCACTTTTTCTCTCACAACCATCAAATCAACTACCAAAAAAGCCAATTATTATCCCAAACACAATTTTTTAGTTAGGCTAAAATAGTCAAATAGCTAACTAAAATAGCCAAGTTCCAAAATGTGACCTAAATCAATTTGTGAACCCTATTATTCTAATTGATTACCTCTTCAATTCATGCCAATTCAATAATTGATTAGCAAGTTATTTCTATTCGCTTTGAAAGTATTGCCATCTTAAATAATGAGATTTTGGTTATGCAAAATATGATTGACGTTATGAGCAAAGTTGTGTTATTTATGTCTCAATATAATTGAAGTTACGAGGAAAGTGATAATACTTATGCTTCAAGAGGTGTTGTCATGAGACAAACCGGCATAAATCATAAGCATTTTAAATTAATGGAAGAATTCAATTCAATTTTATTGAAGAGCATGAAGTGAAGAGTTGTTCAACAAACATCAACAGAATAAATTGTGTAGGATATATTTAGTCATCACAAACAAAAGAAGTGGAATTAATTAATTGACAAATATTTGTAGCTAATGAAGCCATGACAAGAGAAAGGACAAAAAAGGCATCGCCATTAATATCACTAATTGGGTATCACTAACTTTACCTTTTCTACAAGTGAATGAGTACATAAATTACTTCCATTGCTGCTGCTGTAACCATCGATTCTGTGAACTCCAACAAGTAGATCCCTATTTTGGTTTGCCACTCACAATAACATTATTACTCCTTGCTTTGTTCTCACTAATTAAAATTTAATTAACGCAGTATGTGGTTCATTGATAAACACATGCAATATTACGTTAAATGGAGAGAGGAATGGACCTTTTTGTTAAGTTCACAGCAAACCTATCTATTCATTCGTCACCTGAGTCTGCAACAGAGACTTAGGTGTCTTTGTCTTCAAATATATGTAAAGATTGAACCCATTTGGAAGCAACATTGAGAACAAGAGCTCTGACAGCTTGATCTGCAGCTTCGATCTTCGGTCGTTGTCTCTCTTCGTAAGAGCTCTGGCGGTTGAGCTCCTGTGATCTCTCACTCCATTTGCTGGTTCAGGAGCTTTTCTCATTCGTCTCCTTCATCTTCTTTGTCTCCACCTTTCACAGTCGTCGACGATGGTGGGTTATCTTCCTTTGTCTCTTTTGTCTTCTATCTCTTTCGCTCATTTGGTCTGCCCCTTTCTCTTTCTATCTCTCCTTCGTTGGACAAAGCAAGTGTTTTTTTTTTCCCCTTTAAACCGAGACGACGCCGTTTTTCATAGAACAATGAGGTTCCCACTGCCAAAGCAAGGGCATAACCAGCAGAAGATGGCAAAATACACGCTTCTGCATTGTTCCCAAAACTGAAGCAACTCCTATATAGATAGATATAATTTGCATTAGGCTAGTGAGGCTTTAAAGGAAAAAATATTGGGCAATCAAGAAAAAATTCATACATAAAGTGAGTGTAGCTGAAATAAGGATGCTTAGATGGATGTGTGATAGTACTGCAAAATACAAAATTAGAAATGATTATATTCGTGAAATGATGGGAGTAATAGCAATTGAAGATAAGTTGAGAGAAAATAAATTAAAATGGTTTGATCATGTACTATGAGGTTTTGATATGAAATATGGATACAATATGATACAAATACGACCATAGTACAAAACTCTAAAAAATAGGTTACACGACCATACAACTAGTATATGTTTGTATATATGTTTTCTTAATAGTTTGTACTGTTATACATAAGCTTAAAGAAGGGTGAGAAATCATTCTTTAGGACCCTTTCTTTTAGTTCGTTTTATGAAATTTTATTTCAATATCGAGTCTATATTGTTTTTATTGCCTTGTGCTTTTCTCTTTGAAACTTAAATACGTAATATGCAAAAGTGTTGTAAGCAAGTTTACTTGCTTGTGTAACCGTTGAAATCTGATTTTAGTATATCATCATATTGTAAGAAGCATGAACACTTCTAAGAAGGTGACTTGTCCGTGTCTTCCGTGTCAGACACTGAGACTTGTTGGGCACTTCTCGACATGTGTCTGACACTCGTCAAAACGTGTCTTAATTTTAATTTTTTTTTAACACCTAAACACTCTTCGGACACTTAGAGGACACTTATCTATCGCTTAAACACAATTGTCTATCAATTAGACATGTGTAAACTAATTATAAGTTTGAATAAAACAATTTAAAATACAATAATAAAAGAAAAATGATATAAATTTATAGAAATTAGTGTCATATTATCTTTGAATGATATATTCATATAGATATGACATTTAAATATATAAAATTATATATTTCATGCATGTCCCCTATGTGTCGTGTTCTGTATTTTTTTTGAAAATTGGCATGCGGGTGCGCCCGTGTTGTATTCGTGTCGTGTGTCCATGCCCATGTTTCTTAGATCATATATATATGTTATTTATCCTTTCTAGAAAGTGCGGATAAGGATATGCCAATTGGATATCATATTCACACTTTTTAGAAAGTGCACATAACTTTCTAAAGTGTTGATATGGATATTAATCATATGTCAATTCGATAAATTTTGAGAATGTAGGGTACTACTTTATCTCACTATTTTCTTCTCTAAGAAATAAGCAAGTATTGAGAAGTTATTCTTGTTTTTATTCTAACAATTATACTCTAATGATATCCAAGAATTATTATAACTTTAATTTCATAATGGTTTGGATATGTGACCTAGAGTATTCAATATTTTTCAAAATTAAGGAAAATTAATATCAAATGTCAAATATGTTTAGGAAGTACCG